GGACCCACTTGCACGCAGCCAAAAGGCAAAGAGGTAAAGAAGGGGAGGAGGAAACCAAACCTGACAGGGAAAGAAAGATAGGGAAAGAAAGATAATCCAATTATCACAAAGCAAATAACACATCCCACAGATCAACATATATATATATATATATATAAGTGGGTGAAACTCCAACGAAACAGTTTGTCACAGCCCCTCGTTTGTAGTCCTCTTCCCCTCTCTGTATCGTCAAACAGAGCTGCCCGGTAAACCGTAGGCAGAGAGGGAGAAGAGGACAACAAACCAGGGGGGGGGGGGGGAGGAAATTAAGGTTCTCTGTATAGTTCCAATTTAAACGAATGTGGGAAAAAAAAAAAAAAAAAAAAACTGAGGTCACCATCGATATCCCTATTCCCCGGTTTCTCTTCTTTACCCAGATCTTTGTTCTGCATCCTCTTGTCACTCCGCTCCGTACGCCATTTACTAGTACTATCTTCCTGTTATATCCTATAGAGCAAGATCAATGGGGCAGAGAGAGGCGACAAGGGGGGGAGGAGGAGGAGAAGGAGAAGACGGAGGAGGTGGGAGAGAGAGAGAGAGAGAGAGAGAGAGGAGAGAGAGAGATCACCCATCCGGAGGAGGGGGGAGGGAGGTGCAGAATGTCAATGAAGTGCGCACCGCAGAGCAAAGGGACCTGAGAAGGAGCAGAACGGCAACAAAAGCAACATAGCGAGAGAGGAGAGAGGAGAGAGGACGAGGTGTAGGAGCAGAACGGCGAAGGGATATTAAGCATTTGGTAATGTGGAGGAGGAGGTGGTCCTGGAGCAGAACGGCAGCAAAAGGCCACAAGATGATTTGCCATTTGACTTTTTTTTTTTTAAATGCATTTCAAACGTTGGTGGATAATGTTAGTGGATTGGTGTGGATAAGAACGTGGGTGGGTGGATTACGTGGGTGGGTGGATTATGTGGGTGCACTGGGTGGATAATGTGATAATGTGGCTGGATAATGTGGGTGGGGTGGATAATGTGGAGTGGATAATATGGGTAGATATTGTGGGTGGATAATGTGGGTGGATAATGTGGGTGGATAATGTGATAATGTGAGGTGGATGGGGTGGATAATATGGGTAGATAATGTGGGTGGATAATGTGATAATGTGGGGTGGAT